CCATATCTTCTTCTTCTTCTTGAACTCCGCCATTGTTTGTGGTGCGGAAAGGCGATCTTGGGAGACTCCCCCTGAGGAGGAGTGCCAGGAGCGCAGCTCCTGGCCGAAACACGCCTCGGGGAATTTGCACGTTTCTGTTGAGCACTGTGCATGACATGCGGAGATGGAATTGTTTGTTTATATCTGTTAAAAAGCATGCACAGTGCTAGAAGCAGTCTATGGGCGCCGTTTTCACTATTCTTGAACTCCGCCATTTTTCTCTTCGTCTTCGTCGTTGTGATTTTCTCTGTCTGTTCAGTGATCCTCCTTCCTACTCCTTGTCTTATGGATTTTCTGTCTTCTGTGATTACGCTGTGCCAATATTTCTCGTCGTTTTCCATCTCCACTCCTCTGCTTTCTCCCTCTCCGCGCCTGTGCTTTCCCCCTTGCCTCCTGATTAGTTTCTTCCTCCTGATCTGGTGCTATATTGCTATATATCGTAGGCTACCAGCCGGGCCGCACGGATCACCCTATTTTCCTGGACGGCCCGGCCGTGCAAGGACACCGGAAGGTCCTAGCAAAAAAAAAAAAAAAAAAAAAAATCCTGAAAAAAAACTCTGTTATGCAGAAAAATAAACTGAACAACTTTTGCCTCAGGGTCACATCGAAATTCTTTGCCAAATTTAAAATAAAAAATAAAGTTAAAAAAAAATATTTTTCTCTTTTGGCCCGGCCGGGCAAGTGGCTCCGGGCCACTCTTACCAGATACGATAAATCTGCAATGAACTGGATTAAAAAATTACATAAATGAAAAATAATTAAAGCACACACACACACACACACACAGAAAAAAGAAAAAAAAAACAAACTGATTGCTGTACACGCTTGCTGCTGTGCATTTCTGTAGATGGTCCGCATGATCTCTCTCTTCCTCTGGATCGGCTTCTCCGTCCTCATCCATCTCCACACGTCTTTTCTCGCTCAACTTCCTCCGCGTGCTCTTTCGTCGAATCACTTATTTTCTGTTGTTGTTGTTGCCTTTGTATTATTATTTTTATTATTATTATTATTACTTTTATTATTATTATATAATTACCCTCGACTCTCTCTGTTTTTTTGGTGTCATTTCCCCAACCCCAGTCTGGTTTCCCTCTTCTCTTTTCTTTCCTCCAATTTCACGCAACAGGTCGTCCATCATTTTCCTTACGGTCGTCGTTTTTTTTTTTTTTTTTTTCGTCGTCGTTTTTCTTACCGTCTTCGTCGTATCTTATTTCCCTAATTCTCCTCTCCGATCAACTTCCCCCTTTTCCTCCTCCTCCCCCTTCCCCTCCCTTCCTCGTGCGCCCCTTGCCCGCTCGTCATTTCCTCCTGTTGTCCACTTCCTATCCTCCTCCATTTGGTGCTGCTTCAGCGGTTTTCACTTGTTTTTTTTTCTCTCAGCGGTTTTCTTCTTTTTCTTTCCCTCAGCGGTTTTCTTCTTTTTCTTTCCCTCAGCGGTTTCTTCTTTTTCTTTCCCTCAGAGGTTTTCTTCTTTTCCTTCCTCCCCCCCCCCCAAAAAAAAAAAATCGTCTAATTTGTTCTTCGGTCTCTTTCCCCTTCTTATCTGTTTTCGAACTACCCCCCTCCGTCTCTCCTTTTTTTGACCTTTTGGGCTTCAACGAAGCGTCGTGCTGCGTGCCTGCCCTCGCTGCCCTACTTTCGTTCCTGTCGTCTTCTTGCATCTTCTCCGTCGTTCTCCCTTGTGTTTTTTTTTTTTTTGGTCTCTTCTTGCTGCTTCTACCGTCTGGGTTTGTAGAAAAGGAAAGGGAGTTGAGAAAAGAAAAATTGAAAAAAAAGAAGTTATTTCTCACAGGGCGGGGGCAACGCCTGAATCTGGACGCTTTTGCGGAGATGTGCAGAAATGGTGTTGAGTTTCCTGAACTGCACGTCTCCACAAACACGTCCAGATTCAGGCGTTGAGGTAGCTCAACGCTGCTAGTGGGACTTGGCCCCGGGCGGTAGACCTGTTTTACGCGAAAAGTCGTCTGAAAGTACTCTTTTTATTTTTTATTTTTTTTTATTTAAGAAAGAAGCAGTATTAGTATATTGTTGCTGTATTAGGGCCCAGTGTCCAAGGCAAAGTGCACACAGAAATAAAAAGAAAAAGGGACAGTTAGGTTGTCCTTCCTTGTCTAAGGCTCATAGAGGCCCGGGCCTATAACCACAAACTCCACAGCTTTCACAAACAAGCCTGCCCAGGCCAGGCCAGGCCAGGCCCTAAGAAAGCAATCCAGCGAGCTACGGTGACCAACACTAGAATCAATCTAGCGAGCTACGGTGACCCAACACTAGAATCAATCTAGCAAGAGCTACTACTATTCTGAAAAAGGGATCCAAAAGTATATGGGGGTTTTCTGAAGCGATTAGTAGGGAAAAAGGGCTTCAATTTGTCGATCAATCTAAATACTAATATTAAAAAAAAAAAGAAGGAAGGAAAAAAAAAAAAAACATGTATCGGGAAAGCCCAGCCGGATAGAAGCGGCTTCGTCTGTGGGATGCTTTTCGTTGGTGACTGTTTTTGTTTTCCCGATTAAGAAATCAAGACCAGAAGGAAGGAGGGTTGTTTTCCAGATTAAGAAATCAAGACCAGAAGGAAGGAGGGTGGGCGTTCCTGTTTCGTCTTTCTCGTTCGTTGGGAGTTAGTTGCAGGTATTACCTATTAACATTATTTTAAAATCAAAAATAAAAATAAAAGGGGGGAAGCCAAAGGACAAAGTTTTCTCCTCACAAGCTTTCCCCCCTACCCAGCCCTTGCGGCTGAATGAATGGTACATACCGTATCAACCGTTTGTTGACAAAACAGACTTGAAAAAAAAAGTAAAAAACGAAAGTAAAAAAAGAAGTAAAAAAAAAAAAAAAAAAAAAAAGATTAAACAGACATGAGTTCGAATCCTGATGGCTGATGTAATCAGACTCATCAGATCTGAAAAATTACCCGGGAGCGGTCAGTTTGACGATGATATATATATTTTTTCAAGGCCGTCGCCCTTTTACGAAAAAAAGGTTTCCCCTGATTGAAGGTGTGAAAGCAAACAGAGAACAACATTAAATGTTTTTTTTTCTGATTAGAGAAAAGAG